GTGTGAGTTCAGTTTAGGTTAGTTCTAGGGTCAGGTAGGTACCTGTGAAGTTAATTTTAGGGTAAATGATCAGGGTTAGGCAACAAGGTCTAAAAAAAGTGCATGGAAGTCAATGGAAGGTCCCCACAGAGTTTAAGAACAAATGTGTGTGTGTGTGTGTGTGTGTGTGTGTGTGTGTGTGTGTGTGTGTGTGTGTGACGTCAGCAGTCATTTGGAGTTTTTTTCTTTCTGGTTTGTCAGTAGCCTGAGGCTCCAGGTCCATATGAATGACTTTACTGAGGCCTCAGGAGGAAAAGATCCAAATCAGAGATAACGATGCGTTCAATGACACATTTGTAAAATTGAGTTCACAGTTTCCTTAGAAAGATAGATATTGTTGGCATTTGAATAAAATCATTTTGCTTTTGTGCTTAAAGACAGGTATTATTAATGACTGTGCTGACACATTGTACTCAGTGTCTCTCTTTCTGCTGATTATCTCGTAAAGACTCATATTTATGGTCTCAAACTATATTTTCCTGTCAGTAAAACTGGCATTTTTGGTCTTTTCCAAGATTCAACTAAAACTAATGGGAAGAAAAAGTCTCTTCTAGACTGTCTGTATGTCAAAAAAGTGCCTAAAAATCCAGTTTAAACTTAGTTCTTTGACAAGTTGTCTTCATATGGGAAACAGAGGGATTAATTTTTGGAGATTAAAATCCGTTTTACATCCATGGTGCATCMAAGAAACAAACAAACGGAAACAATTTCTCTGGAAGTGAATAACAAAGCAGCTAAAGTTCAAAGAAAAATGTTTAAAGACATTCAGAAATGATCAAGAACAGTTTAAAACATTTACAAGAAATTATATTTTGCAAGAAAAATCATTAGGAAACAGAAGATGACTTTAGATATTTGCACAGTCCACTACACTGGAACATATTTGTGTTGTGTAATTTTTAGTACCAATTATTATTTGTTTTACAACGTGCATTACCTAATATGTCCACCAGGTGGCGCCAGTGTTCATGTTATGATCTTTGTGGCTTGCAGGCAAATCATTTTAGAATCATGTCAGAGGAAACCACAAAGAAAAGCAATCATTTTCATTGCTAATATGAAATGTTCCTATTTTAAAATGAGATTCCTCCTTTTGTCCGCCCATCCACCCTGAGTTACAGCCAAAACCGGCTGCCAGCCTCCACAACCCCTCACTTTGTTTTTTTACTCCTCTCATATTTCTCTGCACTGAAGTTGTGTTGCACTTCTTCACTTCGCAGCAGAGCGAGCAGGCCCGTCTCTGCGAGCTGCTAAATGTGTGGATGACGTTGCATTTCCTTTCCTATAGAGTCAAATTTAGAACCTTTGACATGTTTTTTTTTGTGAGTGTTAAAGCAGTTCAGAAAACAGACTCAGTTGAGGATTACTGCAACCACAGAGACAACTTATGATACGCACAGCATGAATCAAACACACCAGAAGAGAAAAAAAAAAAACAACACACATAACACTTTTTCACACGCTGACTTTGTCTTGTAGAAATCTTTACAGAATTTGAGAGTATTTAACTGAACTGTTCTGTTATTTAAGTTGCTGTTGGGCTGCAGTGAATATTTCACTGAGAGCTGTGATGTCCGTTGCTGCAGTGGTTGTCAGCTTGTGGTTTGGCGCTGCCCAAAGTGTTGCAAGTTAAACTCGTTGGTTTGCAAAAGGATCAACAAGAGGGGGGAACCAAAATATTCTGTTTGCCCCGGTCTAATTAGCACTTTGGGTTTTTTAAAAAAAAAAATACAAACTGTGTCTCAAAGAATCTCATTTGGCATTTAAAAWACATATACTGTCCTTTTTTCTTTAAATTACTCTTTGTATGCACCTTTAAAATACACCAAAACAGGCTGAAATAATGCATTTTGCTTGAACGTCAAATCTTTAAACAAATATCTCAGGTGTTAGGGATGAATCTCAGCGACTACCACACCAAAGTTGAGCTCTATTTCTGTGAAACTGACTGAGTTAAAGTGAGTTAAGTTTTGATTAAGATCAGCCATCTTGAATCATCCAAAAATGAATCGGTTGTTTTGTGTTCATCAAGAGTTTCATTCAAACCCAACCGCTGGTTCAGGAGATATTTTGCTAGCAAACAGGAAAAATTTGCATATTCAGACACAAGGACATAAAAATCTAAAGGAACAACCCAATGCAGACTGCACTTTAAACATATTCATGTTGTTTTTGTTGAGTTTTGTTGTTTCTCCTTCATTACTCAGCTTTTATCTATAGCAGTGGTTCCCAAACTTTTTATCTTCTGACCCACAAAATATCCATGGCAAAAACTTGTGACCCCAAATATTACTGGGAACACGAACTTTGTTAATAACCCTAAAAACACAGGCTTTTTGACAATCTAAACAGCTTGTACATAAATATAAATAGCTATTTATGCTTATTTTGTGTTTTTGTAGTAGTTATTGGGAAAAGACTACATCAGCAATTATTTTATTACCCTTTAAATTGATTTCTGGAGATTATCCAAGGTGCTTCATGACCCATAATTGGGTCCCAAGCCCAACTTTGGGAACCAAAGTGCAGTGGTTCCCAAACTTTTCAGCTTTTGAACCACAAAATAACAATAGTAGAGACCTGTGCCCCCAGATAGTTATGGATGATAAACATTTACATCAGGTCAACTAAACAT